TCTGAGGGATGGAAAAGGGGGGGCTGCCCCTGCCCCACCTCCTGGGTGCTGGGACACGGTGCTGCTGGCCCCACATAGTCTCCAGGATAAGGCATGTGCTGTGCAGTGGCTCTGTGCCCCGTGCTAATAGATGCCACTCTCCTGTTTAGGCTCACAGAGCACGTCCAGGACAAGAGCAAGCTGCCCATCCTTATCTTCCCAGAAGGTGAGTTGTGGAGCAAGGCCAGACAAGCACCTCATGGAGAGGGCCATCAGCATCCCTGTTCCTTCCTTTCTTATGCAGCCAAGGGCCTTGGGACCCTTCACTGAGGCAAAGGGGGCTTTTAGAGCTGACTGAGCCCAGAATGTGAGGTCAGATACGTGATGTCCCTGTGGCACATCCATGCACAGAGCAGGGTTTGGAGGGTGTGTTAGGGGGTGATTCCTGGGTGCCCATGGGTATATAGCATAGCTTTGTGAACCGCTTTGCCTCTTACAGGGACCTGCATCAACAACACATCCGTGATGATGTTCAAAAAGGGGAGCTTTGAGATTGGAGCCACGGTTTACCCTGTGGCCATCAAGGTAAACGGCCTTACACACAACCTGTGGCTCAACAGCCTGCTCCGAGGCCATGGGGAAGTGGAGGGCTCCAGGAGGGCTTAGAGGGAACCTGGAGCCTCAGGAGGGTGCCAGGCTCTCAGGACCAATTCTGCCTTCTGCAGTATGACCCTCAGTTTGGAGATGCCTTTTGGAACAGCAGCAAGTATGGCATGGTGACCTACCTCCTGAGGATGATGACCAGCTGGGCCATCGTCTGCAGCGTCTGGTACTTGCCTCCAATGACCAGGCAGGTAAGTTTGGTGATGCTGTGCTCCCTCATCTGCTGCCTCTTTTGCTCCTGCTGAACCACCCTTCTCTGCCACAGCCTGAAGAGGATGCTGTCCAGTTTGCCAACCGAGTGAAGTCAGCCATTGCCAGGCAGGGGGGCCTTGTGGATCTGCTCTGGTGAGTCCAGGAAGGAGGGGTTCCTTGTGCCTGGGTCCTGGTGTGTGCTTGTGGGCTGCAGAGCTAAGTTTGTCTTGCACTGGGCAGAGTAGGCCTATGGGGAGATGGAGATACACCTTGCCTGTGGCCTCCAAAGCTGCTCTTCTGTAGCAGGGAGCAAAGCCTTTGCTTCTGCTCTGTGTGTTGGGCACCGTGGCTTCACTCAGCCCATCCAGCTGACACTGGGATGCCGGGCTTCTGACTTGGTGCTGCTCAGCAAAGTGCATTGAGCTTTTCCATGCACTGGGTGCCTGGGAGGCAGAGGGACTCTGCTGCAGCGGTGTCAGAGCAGCTCACGCTCCTGAAGGCACCATGTGGGGCCATGGTGAATGTGGTGAATGTGACTGCCCTTGGGGATGGTTGGTCTGCAGGGGACTGGCAATGAAAGGTGCAAGCATAGCTGCTCTGAGCAGCCCCGGCTCTCATGGCCTCACTCTCTCCCTTAGGGATGGAGGCCTGAAGAGGGAGAAGGTGAAGGACACGTTCAAGGAGGAGCAGCAGAAGCTCTACAGCAAAATGATTGTAGGGAACCACGAAGACCGGAGCCGCTCGTGAGCCCTCCCCTCCAGTGCTGCTCCTGGGCCTGGCCAGAGCCCTCTGCCTCCAGCACGAGCCAGGGCTCGCCTGAAGCAGCTCCGCATCTTGGGACTTTGGCTGCTTGGACTTGCTCCTGCATCCTCTGGCTGTTCTCTCCCAGAGGCACCGTTACTGCTGCCTGGAGCCCGGGGGCCCTGGGCAGCTCGTGGCAAAGATGCCTTCTTGTTACTGTTACAGTGAAGCCCCTTGAGGGGGCCAGTATTAAATGAAACACTTCTGGTGTCGTCCGCTTCCATGTGGTGTGTGCAGGGCCCGGGGGAGCTCTGCTGTTGATGGGCACAAGTGGCAATCACTGCACTGGAATCAGCTGCCTTGGCAGCCAAGGGGCTCTGCGTGAGCCTGTGCCTCTCACGCCTGCAGCAGAAGCTCCTTAGGAGCAGGACGTGGCCTCTGAGGCCATTTCCAGCTTTACTTCCAGAAGGAGAAACCTTTTCCTTTCCTTTTCCCCTTGGCCACCTCCTGCCATAGCCTGGCCCAGGCCTTTGCTGCTCCAGCATCAGAGTAACAGGCTCTTTACTGGGGTTCCTCAAGTGGTGGGGCAGGAGCCCCCCTTCCCAGTGCTTCCTGAGGGACACAGTGGGGTCTGATCTTGTAAAGCACCAACGTGCACAGACATCATCTCAGCTCGTTGCAAGGAAACTGAAGTCTTGTGCTGGAGGTGGGACCCCTTGTGTATGACTCAGTGAAACAGCTCACATTTGAGCATCCATCCCATGGACTTCCCCTTCTCCTTATGTTCCTACAAACTCTTGCATCTGTTAACATTGGGGAGATATTTCTATACTGAACTGATTCGCTTTTGCTTCTTGCAGTGCTCAAAGTGTGATTCTTCAGGTAACTACACCGAGGGATGCATTACCTGCACAGACGTGGCATTCAGTTTTCCTTTCCACCTAAGATGCCAAATCCAGAGCAGTAAAACCAAGCAGGAGATGATAGAATCATAGAACCAAAATGGTTTGGGTTGGAAAGGACCTTAAGATCATCCAGTTCCAACCCCCTGCCATGAGCAGGGATGCCTCACACTAGACCATGATAGCACCAGTGGGTTGAAGTGTGCTGCTGATGCTCCTGTACTCATTGCTAACACTCTCCGTTGCCTCATCAGTTTATTGTGGCATTAGGGGCCTATTCACCAGGGTTTGGGTTCATTTTGGTTTTATCCAGCTCCCACCACCAGTTCAGAAGCCCCCCATTGATGGCTGTTACCAGACGAGGCTGTTGTGCATCCTTGTCAGTTGGGTTTTTGACCATCACCATTCAGCTGCATAAGAAACAGTGGGTGTAGCATTATGGGAGTTAACCTTGAGTGTGTGTTACCTTCAGGGCTTACCTGGACCATTCCACCACACATTATAGGAGCAGTATGTGCTCCAGTTCCTGCTTGAGCCCTCTGCCCACAGAGCTGGCACTGTAGACCTGTAGATCACCACAGGGACGATGACGATCCAGCCCTGCCTTTGCCTGCCTGAGCTTTGCTGCAGTGGCCCCACTGCTCCCCCTTGGCTGGGGGTCCTGCAGCAGCTCCTTGCCACAGATCCATGGGGATGTGCTGGAGCATCTCCAGCCCTGCGGGTCCCGCTGCGCTGGGGACCATCCCCATGAGCCAGGGAGCCAGGTTAGGAAGCACGCATCCACCCATCCATCCTGGCTCGCGCCCCCAGTCAATAACGTCTCTCTCCGGTGAGAAAGTTAATAAATTTAGCTCTAGATTAAAAGTATTGATCATTTCATTTGGAAACGATAAATAACCGGGGGGGGGGGGGCACGGGGCTGCCCGCGGGGTAGGGACTGCTGCCTCCGGCTGCAGCAGCCATGCAGCCCGCTGGGGCCGGGGGCCTTCATATGCATTCTGTGGGGCTGCTGGCATTGATTTGCTATTAGTCTCCGTGCACCACCCAGCAGCACATCATCCCCGCAGCCGCTATTAATGGCCTTTTGATAAATAATCACTTGTAAGTCAATAAATTTTTATTAAACAGTGTGGCGCTTTGATTTATGGAAATCCGACGGGGTTTGTCTGCGAGAAAAGGGATGCGGAATTGAAGCGGAGCTGCCATCCATCTGCCTGCCAGGCCCTGCTGCACCCACCCGCCTCGGGGCCACGGCGCTTGGGGCAGGCGGACCTGGTGCTCATCGCTGATACAGGCTCTGCGCCGGTACCCACCGCAGGGCCACGGAGCATCCGCACCCCTTTGGTACCCGCTCGGTCGCGGGGATGCAGCTGTGATTTGTCACTCCGCGTGGCTGCAGCAGGCCCTTTGCCACCTGCTGTATTTGTCTCCCGGCCCTGACGTGGCATCAGACAGGTGTTAAAGTACTTAATCACTTTAAAATTGTTTTAATTTTCTGTTTCCTATTGATCTGCACAGCACCAATCCATCAGCTCACTGGACCAGGCACTTAGTACATTAAAAATTGTCAGCCGCGCCGCGCCAGCTTAGAAAATGTCAAAAGAATGTCCCACCAGCATCCCACCGCCTGCAGCCGTGACGTGGCTCTTCCTGCTTGCCCCTAGGACCCATGCCCACCACGGCTTTGCAAAGGGTCCCCCAGCTCTGCCACCCCTTTGTCCCGTTGAGGTAGCGCAATGGGAAGTGTTACGAGCCCCACGCTCGCTGTGGGGTCGGACAGGGAGCTATGGGGGGGGAATCAGTGTTCTCTAAGTGGTGGGAAAGTGCTGCCCCACAGTCAGGGCCCATTGTAAAGTGTCCCCAAGCCCAGGAAATGATAGAACGGGACAGAATGGAGCCCCTCCACAATGTGGGCCTTGGGGCGCATGCGGATGGATCGGCAGCCCCAACCCACGAGGCCACTGCGAAGCCCATTCTGGGGGCTTCGGGGCTTGGCCACCAGCTTGTCCTCAGGTGCTGGCCATGGCTGCAGGGAAGGGCCGTTTGGCTGCACCCCCCCAGCCCCAGCACCTTATCTCCTATTGATTTCCTCCCAAGACACAGCGCTCTGTTTGCTCACCCTCGGCTCGCAGCTCAACAACGGCCCCAGCCCTGTGCCCTCAGCAGCCCCTTTGGCACCGGGGTGGTTGCTGGGGGACACAGAGCCCTGCATGGGTGTGCAAGGACTGGGCCATGGGGAGCCCGGGCAGGGGGTGCAGCCCCACGGGTGTGTAAGCACAGCCCCGCACAAGAGGGGGCACCAGCTTGGCAAGCAAACACAGCAGGGCTATTGACGCCACATCAATCCTGCAGCCCCGACAGCTGAATGGGCTCTGGCGCACACCGTTAAGATAAATGGTATTTATTTGGTGCTAAGAGGTTCCAATAAGAGGCCCCAACGAGTGACTTTTGAACCAGCGCCTCTCAATGCTGGTGCACGCCCAGCACCGGGGAGAAACCCTGGGAAACGGCCCCAAAGGCTGTCCCGTTCCTGCACACAGCACCGCAGCCGCAGCCCCTACCCCTGCCTGGCATGCTGACCCTGCCCCATACGTGCTAGCCCAGCCCCATGAAGCAAGCGCTGGGACTTGGCTGGGGCCGGGACCTTTATTTCATCCCCGCCTTGTGCTGCCCCTTGTGCTTGCTCCATGAGCCCCGATCCCTGGGCAGGATGGGGGCAGCTCAGCCGCTGTGCGTGCCCAAGCCCTGCATGGAGAAGGCGGCGCGGTGCTTCCTCAGCAGCAGCCGGATCTTCTCATCATCCGAGTCGGGGTCCAGGGGCTTGTTGTATTCATCATCCTCAGCCTCAGAGGCCGCCCGCTCGCCGCCAGAGCCCCCCGCCCGCTGCGAGGACGAGGAAGGCTCCAGCGCGCTCTTCTTCCTCCATTTGGTCCGGCGGTTCTGGAACCAGACCTGCCCACCCGCACGGGCACGGCCGGGTTAGCGGCCACCGGTGCCGTGCGCTCGGTGCCGCGCGGGGACCCACACTCACCTTCACCTGGGACTCGGTCATGCCGAGGGAATAGGCCAACCGGGCTCGCTCCGGCCCCGCCAGGTACTTGGTCTGCTCAAAGGTCTTCTCCAGGGCGAAGATCTGGTGCCCGGTGAAGGTCGGGCGCGTGTGCTTCTTCTTGTGGATGCTGTCAGAGAGGTGAGCAGGGGCTGCGGGGAAGAGGAAGAGGAGGGTGAGCACCAGGGTGAGCAGGGGCTGCGGAGAGGAGGAAGAGGAGGGTGAGCACCAGTGTGAGCAGGGGCTGCAGAGAGGAGGAAGAGGAGGGTGGGCACCGGGGTGAACAGGGGCTGCGGAGAGGAGGAAGAGGAGGGTGAGCACCAAGGTGAACAGGGGCTGTGGAGAGGAGGAAGAGGAGGATGAGCACCAAGGTGAGCAGGGGCTGCGGGGAGGAGGAAGAGGAGGGTGAGCACCAAGGTGAACAGGGGCTGTGGAGAGGAGGAAGAGGAGGGTGAGCACCGGGGTGAACAGGGGCTGTGGAGAGGAGGAAGAGGAGGGTGAGCACCAAGGTGAACTGGGGCTGCAGAGAGGAGGAAGAGGAGGGTGAGCACCAAGGTGAACAGGGGCTGTGGAGAGGAGGAAGAGGAGGGTGAGCACCAAGGTGAGCAGGGGCTGCGGGGAGGAGGAAGAGGAAGGTGAGCACCAAGGTGAACAGGGGCTGCAGAGAGGAGGAAGAGGAGGGTGAGCACTGGGGTGAACAGGGGCTGTGGAGAGGAGGAAGAGGAGGGTGAGCACCAAGGTGAACAGGGGCTGTGGAGAGGAGGAAGAGGAGGGTGAGCACTGGGGCTCTCTGCAATGCCCAGCTCCGGGCACCTCTCCCTGACCACGGCACTGAGCACCATCAGAGTCCCTGTGCGCTGCCTCCCCTCTGCATCAACCCCATATTCTGGCTTCAAGGCTTCAACCCCATCCCAAGGGGGCTGAGCTGCCCTCGGTGCGGGCCCCAGTGCTCGAGGACAGCACTGATGGGTGCTGCCTGGGGGTCACTACAGCAGCGCATGACCACAGAGCCATGCAGCACCCAACCCCGCGTCCCCCGCCCCGCACCTTGCAGGATGCAGGATGGAAGGCAGGCAGAGCTGGTCGGCTCGAAGCTGTGCTGGGAGCGGACGCCCGAGCTGCCCGACCCGTCTGCTCCAAGAGCATCACCTGGAGAGGGGAAGGGAGCGTGGCTGCGGGTGCTGAGCCCCAGAGCCCCCCATGGGACAGGGGGTGCCCCCATCCCACCCATGCGATGTGCTCCAGGGTCCCTCCAGCTCTCAACAGTGCTGCCCTGAGCCGGGCACTGACCCCAGTGGGGCTGCTGGAGCGATGGGAGATGATCTCCAGGACCATGGGCTCTGCCTGTCCTTGCCTGGGGGCTGAGCAAAGAGTTAATCTCTCCCATTGGAGCTGCTCTTGAGCCAACACCTCTGCAGCTCTGGATCGTTCCCACCACCCAGCAGCTCCAGTGCTGAGACCATTCCCATCATCCAGCATCTTGGGACCATTCCCACCACCCAGCAGCTCTGGTGCTGGGACCATTCCCATCATCCATCACCTTGCGACCATTCCAACCACCCAGCAGCTCCGGTGCTGGGACCATTCCCATCATCCAGCATCTTGGGACCATTCCCACCACCCAGCAGTTCCAGTGCTGGGACCATTCCCATCATCCAGCATCGCGGTACCATTCCCACCACCCCGCAGCTCCGGTGCTGGGACCATCCCTATGGCAGCTGCATGGCACACTCGCCAATGTGCAGCCTGGGCAGTGCCCCCCATTGCCAACATACGGGGCTCTATGGGGCACCTGCATCTCCCTCCCATCACTTCCCACCTGGCCCCGCTGTACTTACGGCCGCCGCACTGCCGGGCACCCCTCCAGTCAGGGGCTGCCTCTGCCCAGCAGCTCCGGCCCCGTGGCAGGAACTCGCTGCCGGCCTTGGGAAGAGCCCCCACCTGCGCTCCATAGTAGACACCGGTGGAGCTCAGTCCGTTCAATGCGCCCGCATGGGGGTAGCTGGGGACGATGCTGCCGCCCGGTGCCGCGGGGCGGCTCAGGATGTCGGAGATGCCGTGCGGGGTGCCCAGCGCCGGCGGGCACAGCTTGTAGAAGGAGCTCTGCACCGAGTACTGGCAGACGGGCGCCTTGGCCTCGGGGAAGGGACCCAGCGCGGGGCCGTTGAGCAGGAAGGTGCCGGGCAGGTTGGCATCCATGGCGCTGCCGTCGAGGCGCCCCTCAGCACCCGGCTGCCCTCGGGGGGCGCAGCGGCCGCCCCATCCCCACCGCACCGGGGGTGCAGCCGCGGGGTCCGCGCTGGCTCGGGCAGGACCCGGCGTTGGCGGCGGTACCGGACACTCAACTTGGGCTTGGGGAGCGCCAACATTTCTCTGATAAGGATGAGGTTTATTAGAATACTGCGCTCCCATTGGCTGCGCGGGCGGCCGCTTCCTCTGCCATTGGCTTGCTCTCCGCGGTCTCGGCCGCCATTGGCTGCGCTGCTGGGCCACCCCGCGATTGGCCCGGCCCAGACAAATTGCGCTTTGAAAGCGGCGGCGGGCGCTGGACAGCGCCGGGGGGCGGGGCCAGGAGGGCCACAGAGGCGCGGGATTGGCTGCGGGGCGGGCCTAGGCGGGGCGGGATTGGCTGCGGGGCCAGGAGGGGCGGGGCCGGGCGCTGTCCAGCGCGGTACCGGTACCCCGCAGCGGGGCTGAGCCCCGCCGGTACCCGCGGTGAGGGGCGGGGAGCCCCGGTGCGCACCCGCGCTCCGCCCGCAGGCACCCGGAGCCAGCCCCCGGCACCCCCCGGCTCCCCCATCACCAGCAGCCGCTGCCCGCCTGGACCGGGCACAACAGGGACCCCCCCCCGCCTCCCCGGTCCTTCCCGCAGGGTTGGAAAAGCAAGAGCCGAGAGACCGGGTGTGTGTTGGTTTCTTTATTAATTCATAGTCCGATAGCTGGTGTATAGGGGAATGATCTATACATCAGGGGCTACACAGGGAGATCCAAAAGGCTCGTTTCCATCACAATTAAAAAAAGGAAATAAAAGTAATTGTTAAAACTCCTAAAAAGCTTCTAGTGTGCAGGCTGCAGCATTCTCGAGGCTCAGTGCCGGGTGCAGCCTCCCCCTACCAGCCCTACAAGCAATCTGAGCGCAAAGCGATGTCACCGCAGGGGTCTGGCGCGGTTGCAGCGCAGCACATTCCCTAAGGCGTCTACGAGGCCAAAGCACGGGACCCACACACATCTCTACGGTGATGCTACGGAGGCGGCTGCTGCAGTGGGTCTGGGGAGGTCACTGTACACAGTGAGGGCGATGGATGGAGAGGCTGTGCCTTACGGCTCAGCTCCGGGGTGGGGAAGGGGCTGCTTTGCTCTCCAAGGCTAAGCTGGGTCGTTTGCTTTGCTGCAGGTCGGCTTCCTCCCAGCACACGCGGGGCTGCCCTACCAGGGCCTGGAGCTGGAAGTGGGCTCCTTCTGCATGTGGCCACAGAGAGCAAATTCAGGTTCCACAGCCACCTCCAGGGCAGAGAGCAAGGGGTCCCCACACCCCTGTGCTCCAAGGGCCAGGCCCCCCGTTGGTAACGGACAGAGTCAGGGACATGGGACCTATTGCCACTACCTGCACCCTGCGCTCCTGGGATCAGGTACTGCAGCAGATCCAACCTGCTGCACCGCTCAGAGCTGCACGGGGGGCTCTGCCCGATGCTGCCCATCTGCTAGAGCAGTGCCCCCCCCCCCCGGGCTGCCCTGGCTGGGGGGGGGGGAGCTGCTGCAGCACCCAGGGGAGCAGCCCCCCGTGCCTCTGGGCTTGCTGACCCTCCCAGGACCATCCCCAGGGCCACCGCGCTCAGGGGGTCCCTGCAGAGCCCTTGCGCAGGGTGCGTAGTGCAGCTCCTGGCTCATCTCCTGAGCAGATATTGTGCTGAGCAGAGCTGGGCACAGCCCTGTGTGTGCCACAAGCATCCCCTGCTCTGTCTCATCACCATCCTCCCTGGGCCCCAAGCACCTCAGCACAGCCCTACAGCTTCACCAACACAAAGTGGGCTTTGCAAGCCCAATGGGGCTGCACCCGTGGGCCCCTCTGTCAGGCCAGGAAGGGGCCGGGCTCAGCCGAGGGCCACGGGGCAGCCTGCAGCCCTTCCACTGCCTCCCCGCTCCATTCACCAGAGCTGCTCAAGTACCCCAAGGGTTTTTGCCTGTCCTGCAGCCTGAAGAGGTATTTGGGAGCAGAGCTGCGAGTGCTTTGTACATACTGCTAGAGTGTCCCTAGGGGTTTGCATAGTATTTATTGTTCATATACACAAGGCTGATTGATTGCTGTACAGTTTACACCTCCAACACAAGCAACGAGCTCAGTGCTCAGCCCAGAGCCCTGCCCTGGCCGGAGCCGTTGCCTGCGCTGGGGAGCGGATGGGCAGCCCTGCACCGGCCCCTCTGCCCGGGGCAGTTGTGCTCCCTGCACCCCTCTGCTCCCCCCCGAACCCAGCACTCACGGAGCGGGATGAGAAGCGAGTCCAGCAGAGGCAGCACTGGCGATGGGGGTGCGGGGGGAGGAGCCCCTCTCCTCGAGGTGAGCAGCTCCGCGCTGCCCCAGCCTCCCTCTTGCAGCTGGAGCACGGGCACAGGGATGCAGTCGCCCACCTCTCGGTTGCTGTCTCTTGCCTCCCACAGGAGCTGAGAGGATGCCCCGGGTGCGTGCTGCTGCCCCTGGGCTCTGGCAGCAGCGGGGCAGGGACGGAGCCCCCCCCCCGCCGGTTGGAAGTACTGTAGCTCATGCGTCTTGCAGTCAGTCAGTCATGCGGATAGGACGGTAAGTATGTCTCATACAGAAATCATGCCATTAGCCTATAGAAACATGTACAGCCAGCCCTGCTCCCCTCCACTCTCTGCTCTCCTCTCCTCTCCTCCCCTCCTCAGGTATGTGTCAGAACGTGTGTGGAGCTCAGTGGTTTGGTGTTGAGGTGAGATCCTGGAGACATACAGGGAGAGACAGAGATGAGGTTAGCAGGCACAGCTGAGCAAAACCCATGGGGGCAGCCAGGTAAAGGCAGTGCCAGCCCCTTCTTGTTCTCGTTGCACGCACCCATCCTGCCCCAATACAAGGTAAGCACTGGGGGGTGTCAGAGAGACAGCGAGAGAACACCAGTAAGTGCCCTGCCTGGAACAAGCAGCAATGGCATAGATGGTACTGGTTGTGCGGAGCACAGCAAGTGGGAGCTGAGCTGCACAGTGCGGCACTGGGAAGGAGCTGGGAGGGCTGCTGCAGGCTCTGGGATAGAGGAGGCCAGGCCAACCAGCTCACTCACAGCAGTGGGGAAGACCCCATATATCCCCAATGCAGCCTGGGCCCTTCCACATGCTACTTGTGACAGCAAGAGCAGCAGGAGCACTGCCCCGTGGAGAGGCAGACCCAGGGGCTGTGGGGAATGGGGTGGGCAGCAGCTATGGGATGTGGTCTGCATTGAACATGCATCCACAAGCACAAACCTCTTGACTGCCGTGCACCCACAGGGAGCCCACACACACAGTGAAGAGCAGTGGGAGGAGGACAGACAGACACAGCCATGCGTGTACAGCAGAGGCCAGAGGACAGGCAGTGAAGAGAACTGCGCTGTTCTGGGAGACCAAGGCAGGGGGAACGCACAGGACTCAAGGGTGATCCAGTGCTCACACTGGGGATCAGTGCTAGAAACGTCCTGAGCCAAAGCCGGGCTCCTGCCCTCCTGTTCCTGCATCCCCACTGCCCTGATGCTGCCGTGTCCTGCACCCCGTCCCCGTCCATAGGAGCTCCAGCGGAGCTCGCTGCCGCCCTCTGGTGCCGGATGCGGGGATGGCAGCGGCCGTGCCGCTGCCCCACGCACCCTGCGAGGGAGAAGCCGGGCACCAGGCTGCGAGGAACGGTCTCGTCTGCCACAAGGCTGCACACGAGGGGGGCACCACTGCTCAGACCCCATGCAGATGCTGTCCCGCCCCCTTGTGCGGCTCTGGACACAGATCATCCCTCTGCTGCAGCCCAGTATAGCCAGTACAGCCCTTGGGGACCAGTACCCCGAGTACCCGCAGTGCTGTGACTGGCCCTGGCACGGTGGTCACAGTGGAGTGCTGAGCATGGAGGCTGGCACAGTGCTGTAGAGTGGCACCCTGTGCCCACTGCACCCGCTGCACCTACTGCACCCACTGTACTCACTGCACTCACTGCACCCATTGCACCTACTGCACCCACTGTACCCACTGCACCCCCTGCACGTACTGCACCCACTGTACCTACTGCACCCCCTGCACTCCCTGCACAGGCTGCACGTACTGCACCCACTGTACCTACTGTACCCACTGCACCCACTGCACCTACTGCATCCCGGCATTGGTTTAAGCATCAGAGGCTCACTTCTGCCCACTCGCAGCATGTTGCTGCAGCATAATAACCCCTCTGCACGTTTCCCCAGGAGGATGTGCATGAGCAGCAGCTCAGTGCAGGCAGCAGCATGGGGAGCTGGGACAGAGGGAAAGAGCAAAGGTGGGGTTACCTCCAAAGAGGCCATTTGAGGGGTCACTGCTTCCCCCTTTTCAGGCTGGCTCGTTTCACTATCTGAGCCCCCATCCTGCCCCCGGAGAACTCTGGTTTCGGGACACGCGCTCGCACCTCCTCCTGAGGAAGCCGCAGGGGCAGGAAGCAGGACATCCCCCGGGTGAACAGACACACATAGAGAAGAGGACAGGAGAGGGAAAAGCAGAGTCAGTTGGCAGAAGAACATCGAGCAAGACGACTGGAGCAGTGGGCAAGAGCCGCCCCTGGAAGCCTTAGAGGGGAAACAGGAGAGGAGAGCAGGGCAGAAGGAAGGACAGAGAGTGATGGAACCGCAGAGCCTGCAAGGCAGGGCTATGAGCCACACTGTACCTTGGCCCCCAGCCCGTCCCGGTGCAGGATGGAGTACTTCAGAAAGTGATCATCCTCAGCCTCCAGGTCATGGGGGTCCCCCTCTAGAACCAGCTCCTCCTGCTCCTGCGTGTCGCCGGGGCCGAGCTGCCGCACCACCTTCCTGATGACCTGCGCAGCCCCACACAGCGCCTGTCACCGCTCGCACTGCGGCTCCAGGCCTCCCTCCTTGCCCTGCCTGGCCATGGACCGCACGTGGTGCGCAGCCGCTGCCCCATGCCGTGCGCAGGGGCTGGCTGGAGCGGTGCCGTGACCGTAACCGAAGACGGCGGGTACCGGTGCCCTGTGCGGGGCCCCGGGGCTGCCAGGACGGGCAGGGCAGAGGGAGAGGAGGAGAGCTCCGTGTGCGCATCCTGCCCGCGGGCACTCACCTTCTTGG